ATTTTTTTAAATTAAAATTGAATTGGAATAAGGGGCACCTGGGTGGCTCAGTGGTTGAGCATCTGTCTTTGACTCAGGTTGTGATCCCGGGGTCCGGGCATCGAGTCTCACATCAGGCTCTTCGAAGGGAGCCTGCTTCTCCTTCTGCCTGTCTCTGCCTCTCTCTCATGAATAAATAAATGAAATCTTTTAAAAAATTGAACTAGAATCACACTTTATTATACCTTGCCATATCGCTCCTTCTGTGTTAAGCAGCCCCGTGTGAGAATTGAATGTTCTCCCTTTAAAAGCGGCTGGTGGCCTGCTGTGTTTATAATCCTCAAATCCCATGATTCAGTCCCACCTTCCAGCCTTGCTCCACACACTCCTGCTCACATTTGGTTTAGGTTTGACTTTTTTTTTTTTTTTTTTTGCTTAAGAACAAGATTTATTACTAGTCAGAAGCCAGCAGGCCCCCCACTTTAGTAAAAATAAATAAATGAATCCTAGTTTGCCAGAGGGAGCCATGCCCAAGTTCCACTGGGTCTTCTGAAAATGGTCACCCAGATGGGACACTGCAGCTTGCACTCGTCTAGAAAGTATCATGTTGTCCAAACGTTTCTATCTTTTGGCTCATGTGCTTCCTGAAGTTACCCTATAAAATGTTTGGGGAAGAAAAGGAACAAGTCATTCATGCCTTTTTATAATGCTTTTTTTTTTTTTTATTGAGAAAGGCATATATGCCAGAGACAGGGAGTTGCCTGGAACTGAGAAGCTGGTACAATCAGTATCTGAGACAGACATGCCCCTGTCCTCAGGTAGCTTAGAGGCTGGTGGGTCATTGAGCCCTACCATGAGTCCTGATGCCTTCTTTCACTTACGACTCATAGCAGATGAGGAGAAAGGTTTTTATGCACCTCATATTGCAGATGAGATAACCAAAACTCCCAGAGGTCAAGTGACCTAAGTGAAGTCACCCATGCTGATCAGGGGGTGAACCACAGCTCAGGTCTGGGCTTCCTCAGCCCATGGCTTCTGATTCTGTCCTGGATTCTGGTCTAACAGTGTGACCTCATGTCAACTCAGATCAATTGAAGCTCTCTTTTCCAGTTTTCCACATGCCTGGGTTGGGCTTAGAAAGGTAACTGGCGCAACACCCAGCAGAGAATGAGCATCTCAATTTAGTAATGGGAAGGATTTCAGCTTTATGGAGGCTCAGAGAGAAGCAGAGAACATCTCCGTGAGACCAGCAGTATGGAGGAGTGGGCTGGGGGGTGCATCTGGGGTAGAAAGAGGACCGGGGGAGCTCAGAGAGGTGATCCAGGAATTCCCAAAGGTTGGCCCTGACTCAGTCAATTGCTAGGTCGGTTTGAAATGAGTCACTTGTGGCATGGGGGCGAACAGCCCCCGTCCCTCTCTAAGCTATCGGGAAGCAGGCACACCAAATATTTCCTCCTGAGAAAACACTTCCTAATTACAACCCCTAGAATTTGCATGGCCCTCTAGAGTTTGTAAAGCATTCACACACCGGTTACTTCATCTGCTGATTGTGGACCGCACAAAAAAAAATGCTGAAGAGACCAGGTTTGGAGAAGACCTAGTCGAGTGCCTTATATATACTTTTTTTGAGTAAAATCCTTTGTCGAAATGCAATGTCACACAGCAGTTCTAGTGTATAAAATTGATGAGATTGGAACTCATCATTGGGATGGGGGCAGGGTGGGGAAGGCACAGACTTTGCTTTGACCCCCGTGTCTTGTTCCAAGGGGTCTCCCAGGAGACTGCACGTCCCATCAAACGCAACAAGAAGTATTGTTGCAGTGAACACCCGTCCCATTTGGCTCACCTCCTCTGAAAAAGGAAAGCTGTAGGCCCTGGAAGCCAAGGGAGGTGTCCAAGGCCACCCCCCAGCCAGTGCCCTCTCCACGGAACTCACCAGGGCTGGTTGCTTGGGCAGCCAAAGTCTGAAGACCTGCCTGGAGCTCAGCACGCCCGCAGGTGTTTCGGGAAGGTGCCGCCTTGGTGACTGTCAACTGTGCTACCGCCCGTGGCATTGTTCAAAGTGCCGGCTCCCCAGATGGGGCTCCTCTTTTCAGCCGGGTCACCCCGGGGACCCTGGAGCTAGCGCAGCACGGCGGTTGGGGACAAGTCCAGTCATTACTCGGCCCCCAACACTCTCCCTGGGAATGCAACAGCCGGTAGTCAATCAGGCTCTCAACTCAAAACCCTCACCCTGAACTAGCGAGAGATTGCTATTGGCCCAATGTTTGTTTTCCCCAAATTTCTATTTTGGACGTTTAACCCCCCAGTGTGATGGCATTTGGGGGTGGGGACTTGGAGAGGTCACTAGGTCAGGGAAGTGGAGCCCTTATGAATGGGATTAGTGCCTTTATGAGACCAACCTGAGGGCAAGCCCCCTCCCCGGCCGGGCTCACGCTGTGCCTCTCCCTCCCTCTCTCCCTCCCCCTTCCTTCCCACCCTCCCCACTCCACCATCTCTCTCTGTCTCTCCCCATCATGTGAGGATACAGGACAGCCGTCCACAAACCAGGAAGAGTGTTCTCAGCTGAACTCAACCCTGCTGGCACCCTGACCTGGGACTTCCCAGCCTCCAGAACTGTAAGAACTAACTCTTTGCTGGTCAAGCCCCCAGTCTGTGGCCTTCGGCGACACCAGCCAGAGCTGACCGAGACCAGTTCATGATGGATGTACGGTATGTGTCTCTCAGCACAGTAATAATTGTAGCAACAATAATGACGGCTGCAGCAACAATAATAATACTTCATATATTGGCTCCCTATTTCCTGAGGGTCAAGTTCCAGCTCCCGGGTACAGCCTCGGACCTGAGCCAGGGCCTCCTGTCTTGCTGTCCTCCTCCCCACCCCTTCGTCTAATCGAATATTCAAGCCGCTCTAAATGGCTCTCCGCTTCCCCAACCTGTCACGCGCTTTCACTTTTCTGTGCTCACTCACAATTCTGCTTTTAGTCATGATAACAAACGCATCCGCGGTGCTTACTCTACGCATATACATGCATAGATCTAGCGCTTGCTATATGCAGGACGTTGGAATCATTTAGTCCTCCTCAATTCTGTGAGGCAGATACTGTTATTAACCTCACGTTAGACGTGAGAAAACTGAGGCACAGAGAGGCTAAGGTACTTGTCTAAGGTCACCAGGGCCATGTATGAAGCCAGGCTTTCTGGTTCCTGAATCTTTGCTCTTCAACACGACAGAGTACTGTCCTTGGCTGGTGGATGTCTTGTCCTTGCAGTTTTCCTGAAAAATTCCTCCTCCTCCTTTAAGACCTGGTCCAAATATCACCTCCACCGTGAAGCCCCCCCCCAACCCCCATGGTGTTCCCCAGGAAAGGACGGGCCTCTCTTCTCTAGGATGGATAACAACGGTCTGCTCGCACGTGTTTTGCAGCACATCTCATACTGGGTGCTAACAGCCAGCTGGCGAGCCTGACTCCCGACCAAAGCGTGAGGCCCCTCAAGTTAGGGCAGATCTCAGATCTTCCTTATCTTGACACCCCTGAGCACTCACGACATGTTTGATGAATCAGACATGGCTGCATGCACTTTCTCTCAATTTCTTTCAATAAATAACAAAGTCACAAGGGAACGACTTCGGCTCAGAAATTCTGGCACGGCCCCTTCAGGATCTTGCCGCAGTCCCTGACAACCATGACCTCTTCCTGGGTTCCCTACCCGGCAGGAAGGCTGTTCGGCGACACTCCCAGGGGTCCACACTGACAATAAATACTGCCGTTGATTTTCAAGTATGAGATCACCGTGTGTTACAGGTTGATATGAAACTGTAATGCAAAGCATGATTTTTCCAACTCAAAATGCCTCTCCTGAAAAATAAGACAATCCTCCTTCCCTTTCTGAGGTGTATTGGGTAGGGAGGATGAGGGAAAGTGGATTACTGTTTGCATAGATAAGAGTCTAGATAGCAAGAGAGAGTAACGGGTGGATGTCTGGTCGATGTGAGGATGGATAAAATGGGGGATGATGGATGGATGGACGATGGATGGATATACTGATGAACAGATGTGGCTGGCTGGCTGGAGAAGAAGACAGTACATGGATGGATGGATGTAGGTTTATGAGAACATGTGGAAAAAGGATGTCCAGGCGGGTGGAGGAGAAGTTGTATGGGAGGGTGATGGGATGAATAAGTGGTTGGATGAATGGATGGAGGGAAGGGAGGATGTGTGGGTGGGCAAGTGGATGGGGGGAAGGGAGGATGGGTAGATGTGCCAGCCCTAGAGGACCCCACCCCCAACCCCCCGCCGAGGAAAGATGGGGAGATAGGTGAGTAGCTGGGTGGAAGATGTTTGGGAAGATGAATGAGCTTGGCTGGCTGGCTGGATGAATGGGCGGATGGCCCCACGTGCCAGCCTGGGCCTGGAAGATGACACGTGGGTTGGGGAAGGGAAATAGCAGCCCCATCCACGGCCGGTCATCTTCGGCTTGCCCTGAGCCGCCCCGACAAAAAGCCAACGGCCACCGTGAGAACTTGGCTTCTGGTCCGGGGGAGGACGAATGAGCCCGCCCTGTCCGCCCGGAGAGGACCCCAGGCTCTCGGCCCCGCCTCCCCAGGGTGAGCAAGGAGCACCCCTGGCGCCCTCCCGTCGCGGCCGCAGCACATCCAGATGCGCCTGAAGCCCGGGGGAGGGTCGGGTCGGAGGCTGCGCCCCGCGCCGCGGGGGTCCGGGTTGGGGACCCAGGGAACGAGGGACCCAGGGAACCGTTGGCGGTCCCGAGGCCGCCTCGCAGTGCGCGGGGAGGGGAGCCGGGGCGTCCGGGGGCGCAGGGCCCCCCCTCCCCGGGCCTCCCCGGGGTGCCCCCCTCCCCGGGCTGCGGGTGTCCGCGGAGCGCGGGGCGGGGGCGGAAGGGCCGGGAGGCTGCTGCGTCTTTAAACCTCCGCCGGCTGCTTAGTCACAGCCCCTCGCTTGGGTGTGTCCTGCGCTCGCTCCCTCCTCCCTCTTAGGTCACTCTTTTCAGCCCTTGAATAAAAACTGCACCCAACTTCCCAGGCGCCCTCATTGCCCGGCCGGACCCCAGCCCCCCGACAGGCTCGGGCCGCCGCGCTCGCCCCGTGCTCCGCCGGCATCACCGCCCCCAGCCCAGCCCCGCGCACCGGACCCCGCACCCCGGACCCCCGCACCCCGGACCCCGGCGCCCCGCGCTCGCGCCTCGCACCATGGACAAGTTGGGGTGGCACCTGGCCTGGGGACTGTGCCTCCTGCGGCTGAGCCTGGCGCAGATCGGTGAGTGCCTGCGGGGGGCCCGTGGACGCGGGCGCGGGCGCGGGGGGCGCGGGGCGCAGGGCGGGGGGCGCGGGGCTTGCGCTCAGCCCTTGGGGAGACGCCGGCGGGCAGCACCAGCCTGGCTGGGAGGGAAAGAGAAGGAGCGGAGGAGAAAGTTGGCGGCGCGCGGTCTTGGCTGAGGTCGCCGGGGACGGACGGACGGACCCGCAGAGGGACTGACGCGGCACGAGTCAGAAAGTAACTGTCCTGCGTGCGCGCAACCGGTGTCCGCACCAACCGGCTCCCGCGCCCCAGGGCGCCCCAGGCGGGCAGGCCCGTAGCCAGGTGGCCCTGGAGCAGCTGGGGTGGCAGCCGGTGGTGGTCCCAAGCCTTCCAGAAAGGGGTGCCTGCGTCCTGCGGCTCCCCAGTGCGCCCGGGTTGCAAGGCTCTTACAGTTGGCTCCCGGCCCCGACTCTCCAGCGCTTGTGGGAACTTGAACCAGCTCTGCGAGGTTCTGGGTTTCCACGAGGTGCCAGCCCGGGGCAGGGAGCGCGAGGAGGAAAGGCGGGGACTGAGCCAGTCCTTGCACCCCCCCACCCCACCCCACCCCACCCCACCCCTGCCAATCAGTTAGGGGAAATCCAGGCAGTGATGTGGCTCCTATTCCCGGCCTGGCAGCCTCGCAGCAGGGAGGGGAGCCTGGCGGCGGGGTCCTGTTAGGAACCCTGGAGCTCGGGCTGGGGTACCCTAACCAAACAGGGTCTGTATCTTCAGTGGCTTTGGAGTGGGGTGGCTGCGTGTGAGGTACTCTGGGGAGACTGAACTCCGGGCGTTTCTTTCCCTTTGTCTGTATGTGGACAGATAATTACATGGCTGATTTGCTTATTGCTAGCAAAATTAATTTTTCTTTTAAGAAGCGCCAGCTGGGTCATTAAGACAGCTCAGCCTATGGCTTGATTCTACTCAGCAAGTATTCAGTAACCCTGGCTCTGGGGGTACCAGGAGAGTAAAGACAGTCTGACCTGGGCACTTTAGACTGGGCTCAGGTGGCGATCGAAGAGTTAGATCCCTGAAACAGAAATAATAATAATAATGGTCACAGTAACGGAAGAAATGCCAGCGCCGGCCACCGTTGGCTGCACACTTCCGTCGTGCCAGGCACTGTGCTAAATCTTTACAAGCGTTAACCTTATTTTACCCCCACGGGGGCGCAGTGGGAAGGGTGCTGTCACTAGCCCTGTTTCCCAGGGGGGAGACAAATGGAGGCGCTGAGACGTTAGGTAACTGGCCGGTTTTCACGCGGCTGGAAGACCTGGTGCACGTGTGCACCCAGGTCCGTGAGGCTCTGCTTAGTGGGACTCCGTTGGACTCCATGTGTGGCACAGACGTGGTTGGAAAGAGTTCAGGGGTCGAGGCCTGAGGGGGGGCCAGAGGCCACAGAGGAGGCTTCCAACGTGAACAGAGCTCCACCGAACCCTTGAAAGTCAAAAACGTTTGGGATGGCCAAGAGGAGAAACTCTGGAGCGCAGGGGGCGCCCTGGGCCGGCCCGCCTGGGACCTCTGGGGAGGCCCATTGGCCAGTTACCTGCCGGTGATGCCTTCTGAGGCTCCGGGTTCCTGACTCCTACCCGGTCTCCCTGATTCCAAATATCAGAGCCGGACCCCCCTGATATTTGACACTGTGCCCAATCCTTGAGGTTCTCCCAGACACCAGAGGCTCAGTCCTGCCCCGCGTTTTCATGGTCCTTTTGGACAGCATCATTTGGAGGAAGCGTGACAAAGTGCCAGTAGCAATAACTCCGGGGCCTTGGCTTTCGTGTACTTGTAACGCTGTTTGGAAGGAACTGAGACTTGGAAGGGAGACGTGACTTAACAGCAGCTCGGCTGCGGGGAAGGAGGAAGAGGAGTGGGGTGGGTGGGGGAGGCAGTACTATAGCCCCAGTCCCCTGTGGGGGTGGAGGTGGGGGGGGGAGGAGTCAGGAGGCCTCCAGAGGACAACAAGGAAACTCTGGAAGGGAGCATGGCTTTGGGGAGGAGGAAAGGCTTCCTCCTGCACATCGGAAAGTAAAAAGTAGAGAAATGGCCAACACTGGACCCAAAAAGTAAGTTGGAGAATGGACACTTTGAACGAGGTGTCATACACAGGGGGAAGAAGGTGGCCCTGGGTAGAGGGCAGTGGATGAGCCCTCCTGACGTCTCGCCTCCTCCTGTCTGTGGACGACAGGTCGCTGCTTGGGAGGTGCGCCCCTGGTGTTGAGAAAGAGGGGTTCATCTGAGCGCCCCAGAGCTTGTGGGTGACATGTGCCCTTCTGCTCCCTGTGAGCAGTAGAGACCCCCCCTTCCTGGGCATGAGGGCTATGGCTGTGTTTTCCCGGGTGGAGAAGCAAGAAATGCATCACTGCCGAGGTTAGCATCAATTAAGTCTGTTGTTCCCCAGATACACATTGGACATCTTATTTCCTGCAGAGGCGTATGCCAAGTAGGTGTGTCTGAGGCTGGCAGCCAGTAGGAAGAGGTGCCACTTTCTTCCAAATTACCCCACGTAGGGGCAGCATGGGCCTCATGAAATTCTTAAGTTATGACAGATCCCCTTCCATTCATTCGAGAACTATTTCTTGACTCATTGTTGTAGACTCAGCCATGGGGACTCCAAGGACCATTTAGAAAAACCCTTCTTTTTTCCCATGGAGGAAACAGAAAGAGGAGGAGGAGTGGCTTTTCCCTCTTGGAGACAGACTTAGGGCTGGACATTTCCAACCACAGGTCTCTGAAACACCCCTATCATCAAGGACGGTAATGAGCACCCCCTCTGCCCCTGCAGTGGGCAAAACACTTGTTTCACACCTTAAATGCTATGTTAAACATTCACAATATATATATATATTTTAAGATTTTATTTATTTATTTATTTGAGAGAGAGCGCACATGCACACACACGAGCAGGGGAGGGGCAGCAGGAGAAGCAGGCTCCCTACTAAGCATCCCTCCCAGGCTCCATCCCAGGACCCCACGACCATGACTTGAGCCAAAGGCAGATGCTTAACTGATTGAGCCACCCAGGCGCCCCAACACTCCCCACATTTTTATTAATTTTTTTATAAATTTATTTTTTATTGGTGATCAATTTGCCAACATATAGAATAACACCCAGTGCTCATCCCATCAGGTGCCCCCCTCGGTGCCCGTCACCCAGTCACCCCCACCCCCCGCCCACCTCCCTTTCCACCACCCCTAGTTCGTTTCCCAGAGTTAGGAGTCTCTCATGTTCTGTCTCCCTTTCTGATATTTCCCACTCATTTTTTTCTCCTTTCCCCTTTATTCCCTGTCACTATTTTTTATATTCCCCAAATGAATGAGACCATATAATGTTTGTCTTTCTCCGATTGACTTATTTCACTCAGCATAATACCCTCCGGTTCCATCCACGTCAAAGCAAATTCACCACATTTTAAAATTTTACTCTGCTATATCCAGTTTGAGTTCAGGATAGGAATAATGATGTCGGTTTCTCACCACAAAGCAAAGTTGCTTCTCGAAGCCTGACACTGCTACTGCAAAGAAGAGTTCCAGGTCCCAGGAAGTGGCGTTTCCTGAGCAGTGGCTCTGTGCTAGGCCCTCAGCCGGGCCGTTGGAGTAGGTTATTCCATATGAGCCTCACCACAGTACTGGGCATGTTTGACACTTTCTTTTTTTCTTTTTTTTTTTTTTAAATTTTTATTTATTTATGATAGTCACAGAGGGAGAGAGAGAGAGAGAGGCGCAGAGACATAGGCAGAGGGAGAAGCAGACTCCATGCACCGGGAGCCCGATGTGGGATTCGATCCTGGGTCTCCAGGATCACGCCCTGGGCCAAAGGCAGGCGCCAAACCGCTGCGCCACCCAGGGATCCCATGTTTGACACTTTCTTAACCCCATGTTCTAGACCAACAAATTGAGGCTCAGGGAGGTGGCATGGCTTGCCCAAGGACACACAGCTAGCAAACAGCAGAGATGGGGTTTCCCACTGTCTAACGTTGGAGTGTTAGACTCCAGTGCTTACGCACCTTTGATTCAGTACTTTGGAAACTGTGTGTGTGTGTGTGTGTGTGTGTGTGTGTGTGTGTGTGTGATTCTCCTACCCTCCCTGTAACATGTGACCAGCTAATGTGAAGCCTGGTGTGAATGGCTTCTCTCCCCCCCCCCCCCAGCAGGATGTGGTCTCTTGGCTGCCCTACCCTGGACTGACTCTCCCCAGCTTGGCCACAGCTGTCAAGAGATGCCAACCTAGTTATTTGTTACTAAAATAAGTCAATTCCCTTATCAGAGTCCAGCTGCCCTTCTAGACATGCTCTCATTTGCAGGCTTGGAAAAAAAGGGAGAGGCTGTTCCTTGTCTAAGAGACAAGTTAGGGCAATGCCTTCTGCCTGAAAATTAAGGAAGAGGCTCTGCAGAGGCCCTCACCCTAACCCCGCAAGCATTTTAGATGCACTGACCCAGAAGGGCCCTCGTCACATGCTCCGTGGAAGCCCTCAGTGTTTAGCAGATTGTATGTGGCCCAACGAAGGAAAGTCTCAAGGACCCAGGTGGCGGGCTGACACAGTTGCCTACAAAAGTCAAGGATTTTGAACTGAAAGCCAGTATGGAGCTCCTGGTGACACGCGGCTACCCAAGTGAGATTTCAGATCAGTCTATGGTATCCAGGCTAATGGTGTCAAGCTAGGGTTCCCTGACAGCGTGGAGGTGGTGGGAGGTAAGCTGGCCTGCCCAGCAGTGGCTCCTGGCTGTAGCTGGGGCTGGGGCTGGGCTGTGTGGGGCTGGGGATGGGGCTGGGGCTAGGGCTGGACTGGGGGTGGGGCTAGGCTGTGTGGGCTGGGGCTGGAGCTGGGCTGGACTGTGTTGGGCTGGGGCTGGAGCTGGGCTGAGCTGCTCTGGGCTTGGCTGTGTTGAGCTGGAGTGGGGGTGTGTTGGGCTGAGGCTCGGGCTGGGGCTGGGGCTGGGGCTAGGCTGTGTGGGGCTGGGCCTGAGGCTGAGGCTGCTCTGGG